GGTCCCCAGCTTCCCAGTCTCTCGCAGTAGGTCAAGTACATAGTTTCTTTGTGAAATGAAGATCCCATGCTTGGATCTTGCAACTTCAATCCCTAAGAAGTATTTGAGCTCACCAAGATCTTTGATCTCAAATTCTTGCTGCAATGATTTTTTGAGATCATTGGTCTCCTCCAGATCATTTCTTGTCACCACTATATCATCCACATATACAATCAGAATTGACACCAAAGCATCTCTCCTCTTCACAAAGTGGGTGTGATTAGACTGTGTCTGTGTGTATCCAAAATGGATGAGTGCCCTTCTGAACCTGTCAAACCAAGCCCTAGATGACTGTTTCAGTCCATACAGAGATTTTCTGAGTCTGCACACCTTTCCTTTACCAACATTTTCATAAAAGCCTACTGGAATGTCCATATATACCTCGTCTTGTAAGTCACCTTTGAGGAAAGCATTTTTGATATTAAGCTGGAACAAGGGCTATGAATAGGTGGCTGCTAGAGATAAAAGGATATGAACTGAACTCATCTTAGCTACTGGTGCAAAGGTTTCCAGATAATCAACACCATAGGTCTAAGTATACCCTTTTGCTACCAACGTTGCCTTGTACTTCTCTATCTTGCCATCGACCTTATACTTCACTATGAATACCCATCGACATCCGACTGTCTCCTTGTCTGGGGGGAGATCAACTATTTCCCAAGTTTGGTTTTTGACCAAAGCATCCATCTCATCTYGCATGGTTGTTTTCYWCTCAGGTTTGGAGAGAGCCTCAATAACATTCCTGGGTATAGACACAGATTTCAGGGAAGAAAGAAAAGCACGGTAGGAGGGTGATAAGGCACTGTAGGAAAGATGGTGTGAAATGCAGTGAGCTGTACACTTTCTCTTCCCCTTATGAAGTGCAATGGAAAGATCAAGGTTAGTGGGATCAGCTGCAACAATGGTGTTAGGGACAGAAACATTATCATCAGAAAACATAATAGGCTCAGGCTCAGGCTCAAGAGAAATACCTAGAACTGTATCTGCCGAATTTGGAGTTTCAGAAGGACTGACAGAGAGTGGTGTGGGTCGAGGATGTGTGGAGTCAACCATCATCTTCTGGCGTTGATATTGCTATGTGGCTGTCCTAGTGTCTCAGGTAATGAAACTGGAGGTGCAGGTGCTGGCTGAACTGATGYTGGTTTGAACTGATGGTGCAGGTGGTGGCTGAACTGATGGAGGAACCACAGAAACAGGAAGTGGAACAGATTGTGAGTTCTCCTCCCCAAAACTCTCCCCCTGAGGAGAACCACTCGAGAAGAAGAATGTGGATTCAAGAAAGGTTAACATCCATAGTGACAAATCTGCTCCTCGACACTAGGTCATAACAGCAATACCCCTTTTGGTTCTGAGCATACCCAAGAAAAACACATTTCTTGGCCATAGGATCAAATTTCTTGCGATGAAGGCCAAGAATGTGAACAAAAGAAACACAACCAAAAACCCTCAAAGGTATATGCAATATCTCTCCATCTGGAAAAAGAAGGCTAAATGACACCTTAAACCCCAAAGTCTGTGAAGGAACACGGTTAATCACATGTACGGCCGTAAGAACTGCATCTCCCCAGAACTGCACAAGAAGTGAAGCACACACCATAAGATTCCTTGCCACTTCCACAATGTGTCTGTTTTTCCTCTTAGCAACTCCATTCTATTGTGGTGTTAATGCACAATTGTTCTGATGAACTACACCATGTTCTAAGAGATACGTGGTTAGGTCATTCTCAAAGTACTCTCTGGCATTATCTGATCTAAAAGCCTTAGTTCTCACTTGAAATTGTGTGAGAACCATCTGGTGGAATTGTCATACTAAGTTAGGAACCTCATCACGTGATCTCATCAAATATATCCAAGAATGTCGTGCATAATCATCCACAAACAAGAGAAAGTAACAGAATCCTCCCATGGAAGGGATTTGATATGGCCCCCATATATCAGTGTGAACAATATTAAAAGC